CGACCCCACCCCCCCCACCACTCACGCCCCCGGGGGGGTGGTGCGGGGGATGGGGGGGTTAGACACCCCCCCCAGATAAATGTTGCCAAGGTTGAGAAACACTGCCCTAGCATCTCTTGTTCAGGCTGGGTGCAAAAACTTGTCTGAAACCCTGGAAGGAAGCTACCAGTTGCTCTAAACCAGATGGATCAATGATGTGACTCAGATCACTTTTGTTCTCCTACTTCATGGAACAGCATTTGCTCACATACATCTCTTCTTTCTCTCTCCTTCCTTCAGTCCCCTGCTCCGGCTGTCTAGAAGCAGGTCCACACTCCTGAGTTAAAGTCCTATCCACCTATCCTGGAATCACCACAAAACAGTGCTGGCATACCTAATGTTTGCTGCCCTCATTGCCAACCTCCACAAGCCTCTACGGCACCTGTTCTGAGTCATTGCTGGATTGCGCTGACCTGATTTGCCTGATCTCATTGCCGGTAAGATTTGGTTTTCTTCACCATCTCCTTTCCTCCTGTCCCCAGCCAGGGGGGAAAACAGTCACCAATTGGGTCACTGCAGCAGGAAGGCAGAGAGTCTGAGTTTGGGACTCTGGCTGGATTTCTCTAGGCTGGCTTGTCCCATACCCATTTGGGCAGCTCCCAAATTAAAGCAATTAAAAATAAAACAACGTATGCAAAGGTGCCAGGGCCGAAACAGACCCAGAAGGAAGCAAGAGAGTAAATAAAATGCTAATGCAGAGAACCAAGACTGAGATAGAAACGCCTGAGTAACTAAAGAGGAGGGGAGTGTCTGCATCTCACAACACCACGAACATCTACTACTGGTCCCCTGACTCTGTCTCCAAGCTAATAGTTGGTAGAGGAATGATTGAGCCATGGTTCAATGCCATTGGGTCAGGGCCTAAATTCAAATAGTAAACCCTTAATGAAAGGACCTTTCATTTGCTAAGGTCATACATGGCAGTGGTGCAAAATGCATGCAGTCTCCCTAAAGCATTGGGTACAACTTGAGGTCCTCCGAAGTTTTCACTGAATTATATTTCAGAAGCAAAAAACAATTTGAAAAACATGCGTTAATCAAAACAATTATTTCATTACATTAACTTAATTTTATCGCATTTAAATTAAATCACATTTAGCATTTGTCCTGGCCCAGCTTGTTCAGAGACCAAGTGTGGCCCTTGGACCTACAATCCATGACATAACAGAGTTGCTCATTAATAGTCCACAACAATGCAAATTAACAGCTCCAAAGTTGCTAACAAAGCCTTCTGTTCCAAAATAACTACAATATTCATAATGCCTTAAAAGGGCTAGAAGAACAATAGAACAGAAACATAAAAATAGAGGGTATGTTTGTCAACATCCAGCATGGCACAATGAAACAAGATTTTTACTACTAATTCTGCCCTTTGGTAAAAGCAAGTTCGGATCCTGAACTCTTAGAAGTCAACCCCTTCCCCCAATTCCTGCCACTTCCTCTCTCTTCTACATAGGTAAGCAAAACCTATCCAATTTTGCAGAGGCAGCAAAAAAGTCCCAGAACAGCACGACAAGCTTACCTCCACATAATTAGCAGGAAATATGCCCACCCTGCCATGGTGTTCTCCTTCAAGCCAATTTTTGTCTACTTCTTTGTGGATGTAGACAATGTCACCTTTCTGCAAGGTCAGTTCCCTGAAAGAGAAATAGGTAACATAAGAAACACTGTTAAACATTTTTTCAGAGCAAGCCTCCTTCAAGGGACTCTTAAAGTCACTCACTCGATTTGGACAAACCACCTCCTGTTCAGGTTAATGGCTAAATGCCATGACTGAGACTAATTGTGCCTTTGCATTGATACTTTCTTTTGGTTCAAAAAATGTAGCTGTGGTTTTCAAGCTATGTTGCTCCAGGAAATATTCTGTGGGGGAGAGTTGGGTGTGTTCTAGGATACATTCTCCACTCAAGCAGAAAAACTGTGAGATTTGAAAGACTTGGGCAATGCTTCATACAAGCAAATCACATGCCCTAGAATGGGGTGAGGAACCTTGTTACATTTGGAAACTACATCTGCCTTTTCCTTTTGGTTTATTCAGCTTAAATCCTGTCTTTCTCCTCTAACAAGTACTGAAAACTGCTAACCCAGTTTTAAAAACTAAAACTTTTCCATACCATTTTTGTTTTTTAAATCGTGTTAGCGGCTTCCAGTACTTGTTAGAGGAGAAAGTAAAGTAGAAAAGCAGGATGCAAATCAAGAATCACACTAAAATCACTTAAGAGCCTGTAAAAAGAGATGCCAGATTTTCTAAACGCTGCGAATACAGGACAGAAGGGCAACTCTCAAGGAAGTGCATTCCCTAAACTGGGAGCAGTACAGCAGAAGTCCCCCTCCTGCATATTAGATAGATGGGCTCCGATAGCAAGACATCTTCAGAGAAGCTTTCTTGCAAATCTTAATAGCTGGCCAGATCCATATCAGGAAAGACAGTCCTTTAAAAGGCATTTTAGAACTTTAAAGGACCATAACAAATTGCATTCAGTAACCAATGGCAACTAGTGTTGTTCATTCAGTACAAGCATTATTGAGACCTGTATCTCTACACTGTTTGCACTGGTTGGCAAGCCAGCTGCTGCAATTTCCACTAACTTCAACTTCCAGAGGCTTTTCAAAGGAGCTGCAATAATTAAGATGGGATGAAACCAAGCCATGGTTAACCTTTGTCAAATCCCATGGGCTCAAGAAGGTTGCAGCTGGTGAACCAAGTGTATTTGTGTTGAGTTGCTTTGGAGCAGGTCACTATGACACTATGACTAAGTTTCAATCCATGGTATAACAACATTCAATATTCAATATTCAACATATATATTCAACATGGCAAAGCATTTCATATATGGGTTAGAGACCACATGCTTCAGAAGTACTGCCTACGTTCTGCATTCAAAAGTTCCTAACTTCATTACTGGCCTTTCTAATTAAAAGGAGATGTCCTGAGACATCTGAAAATTCTGGTAACTATTAAAACAGTTTTGGGGGAAATTACTCAGGAACATTGCTGAGTTCCACCATGAAAAAAAGGTAGGGTAGATGTACTGGAAATTCAATAAAAATATATTTGCATGTACCTCAACTCACTGAGGTTTAATAGTTTCTCCAGTTGTAATCTGGAGGAACCAGGCTGCGGAAGGCTGGCAAAGATAATATGGGGCTAAATATATTACTGTATCTGAACATTATTGACAGCACTGGAATTTCCTTTCACACACTATCCATAATAATTGCATGTATACCAGAATACAGCCTAAAGACACGCGGTGTAGTCACTCCACTGAAGCAAAGCATGTCTGGGTATAGTCAGCAGTTTTTGGGGAAATTACTCAGGAACATTGCTGAGTTCCACCATGGAAAAAAGGTAGGGTAGATGTACTGCAAATTCAGTAAAAATATATTTGCATGTACCTCAGCTCACTGAGGTTTAATAGTTTTTTTCCTCAAGCAAGTGGTTGTTGAATGGTAACTGAAACCAAAAAAAAAAAGTATTTATAGATGCAGCTGAGTATCTCAACTCCTTGCCTATTCTGCACTTCATCAGTCAAAAAACTGCCCTGCCAGGATTTTGATCGCTTTGATATTGATTCTGGCATATCCAGATGTGGTCACATTTGGAACAAGACAAGTCTAACATGCTTGGAAAAAGGAATGCAACATTCCTGCTAGACTCCATATAGAAGCGTGGGCCAAACTGACGTACCACCCATTGTTTGTGAGGAGAGAATGCAGTCAGGCTGGGCACGAGTTGTGAAAAGGAGGTGAAGCAAGCTCACTTCACAATTTAAACTCTCTCAGTGGAGGTCACCTCTGTTCCTCTCCCTGCGTATCTGTCTTTAGAACTCATCTTTTCCACAAAGCCTTACCTTAATCCTACCAATAAGCAAAATGAAGCTTTAGCACAGAAAATAGGTAACCTCACACTGTATGAACGTTTTGGATTTCTGCTCCCTTAAGTCCTGGACAACAGCAAGAACTTGTGGGAGATGTTTTGGACTGTGACATCTGGAGGGCACCAAGTTGCCTATGCCCACCTTAGTGAGTTTCACTGAGCTATACATTGCTACATAAGTTTGTATTGGTTGTTGCTTCTCCCTTTCTTCTTTCTTCTCTCCTCAGACTTGCTGTGCCCCATCTTGCAAAGCACCATGTAGCTCATTCACTATGATACAACACAATGTTATTCCTTGCAAAGGGCCACAGTTGACCATGATTAGCATTGCCAGGGGCCATGCTCCAAGAAGTGGTAGGTGGTGCAGAACAAAAAGATTGACTTCATTTACAGCTATTAAACTTAAATATGATTCATACTGTCCAATCATATCCCATCACGTTAAATGCTACAATTTAGTTAACAGCTTTTAGAAGGCCCTTATGGCCATACTAAAGGCTTTCCAGAGCTCAGTGCAGCCTTGGGCCTCAATTCTGTGCTACACCAGTCACAATAACAATTAACCAGCATGGCCACAGCAACAGTGCCAAGACCCTGAAGCATTATAGGGCTGCTAAAGGCTGCCAGATATTGCTACTTACTTTGGTGATTCTGCTTGGAAATCAAATTTGAGGCGAGCAGCTTTCATCTGGAAGGAGGAAGAAAAATAAGTTAAAAGCAGACGCAGAGTCCAAAACCCAATTAAAAGACACCCGATTATAAAGAGAAACTGGGCACTGTGCCAGTATAGTAAAGCATAAAAGAAAATAGCAACAAAACAAGGAGCAGAACCTTTGAGCACGCTGGTGTGCCCCACAGAACGGCAGAAGTGGAGAAGGGCCTCAAGCAACAGGAAATCCGACCTAGCCCTTTTATAAGGTCTAATGCACACCCTAACCTCACCTATTCTCGATATGCTGACAAACATTCATGATGCAAGAGAGTCTTTATGTTCACCAAATTCCTGCAAGAATGTTCCACAGTTCCTCACCAGGAGACAAAATAATTGATGGAGAGGAACCTTTGTATTCTGGTAAACTGGTAAACTGCAACGTATGGGAAGGGTATTCAAGAAAAAGCATTTGTACTACAAGTCTCTCATCAATTTACCTTTCCTCTCAATGAGAGCAGAAAAATCAAAGCAGATTCATTCTTTGTACGGATATGGTTTATTACTTGGCTCAGGATAATAACACATTCTAGAAGAGGATGGAAAATCTGTGGCCTTTCAGATGTTGAAAGGTTTTCCACCTTGGATTCTAGAATTTGCCCAATGTATCTAGAAGGAGCCAGGTCAGGAAAGCTGGTGTCCCATGACAACCCAATCAAAAGCATATCTGCCTCCTTTTGGTGGGAACTGCATCTCACCTTCTTCTCATCTCTCTTTGGAGGAGCATCTAGAACAATTTCTGAAGAATCAAGAAAGGGACTTTGCCCAGGAAGCCTCAGAGGATCTGGGTGAAGAAAATAAGGGAAGAAGTGAATCTGTTTGAATCAAAAGGGAAAAGCAGAGTCTACTTTGAGCCAATCCTGTAAAGCAAATTTCAATAAGAGTGCAAAAACAGCAAGTCCATGTTGTGCTAAGTAGAGATATTCACCTCCAACCATGTACAACGCTTCCCTTGGGGCAAACTATTCCCTATCCCACTTAATTTCTCTACTTTTACACATTCTTTTAATCTGAACACACATACGTACACACAACACAATCACCCAAATGAGCAAAATTAAAATTGGTGGGTGGCTACAACTCAGTACTTTCTTTTGAAAGTATGCCCACTGGCCTAGGAAAAAAAAAAGTTGTAAATAAACTGAAATCATACAGAGCATGTTGGGGGGACCTAAAAGGAGTGATTGGGAGCAAGTTCACTATTTGTTTTCTGGCAGATGAGTGATTTGGGACTGGCTATAGCTACCATAATAGCAATAGAAAGCAACAGAAAGGGAGCATATATGATTGCTCTCCAAAAACCCAATCTGTCCACCAGCATCCAAAAGGTTATCCATGTGTTCAAAATGCTTTTGCGTCACTACACTCAATCTACGTTTATTAAGGAGTAAAGGAAAACATTTTAGGAAAAGCTTAAGTGTTTTCCAAAATTCATCTTTCTTAATATGAATTATCCACAATGCAAGAAAATAGTTGACCACCTACTATATTATGGCAAGTTTCCAGAGTTGGATATTTCAGTCCATGTGTTTGCTGACTTAGCTGTAATTTGCATCATATTACCATTAATATGTGAGTCAAACTGTAATGAGGAAGTGTGGTAGAAGGGACAATCTTCAGCCCAAAAAGAGGAAAAGGGCTTATTCTGAATTCTAACATACCCTTAATGAGATGATGTTCCATATCCGTATCTCTAAAGAGGTTGCAACCCACAGAAAAATAAATACTGTGCATTGCTTTAGAATGAAGATGAAGAAAAAAATATATATAAATACTCTCAGAGGTTTTTAAAAAAACATACAGTAAGAAACCTAGCAAGAATAATTCTAAAGTAGTTTGTATTGTTCACTTACACAGATGGGATTTAACTGTCACCAAGTCTCTTTTCTATCCAGAAGATGTGGAGTGTCAACCATGGCACCAATCTGGACAATACACTTCCTAGGTTAGGTCTGAGAAGATCCATTTTACCTCCTGCCTTTTCTAGGAATACTATCTTCCAGATTTGCTCACAATTACTGAAGACCACAAAGCATACTCACTTTCCGGAGAACCTATATTAATCCCCTTGAGATGTTGCTACTGCCCAAATGGATACAGGTAAACCCCAAGCCATGCCATACCATTCCTGGGTGGAGAGCTGCTCCAGGTACTCCTGGTGACGCCTGGGCTTCCTTTCTCCATTCTTGAGCTGGCTGGTATCTGGCCCTGGGGTACAGGAAGACTATGCCCCTTGGAAGGATGGACACCAGAGCCAGGCAATGGGCTGCTGAGTTGGAGAAAATGGAAGCAGAGTGAAAGAGAGCACAATCCAGCCAACATGGGCAGTAAAGACAGACCTGCTTGATGACCATCTCACTGACACTCTAGTCCCAGAAAGACTGACATACAGTATCTTGGACACCTCTCTGCACATTCTGTTCCTACAATCTGACTAGGATCAACCCCGCTTGCTGCCCATACAATCTGATTGTGCCTCTTCTATCAAAGGAGACACATGCCACATCGAAAAAGAGGCCTTTTCATCTTGGGGATGGGAATACAATCAATCACCCACGAAGAAGAAGATGCTCACGGGCATCCTTTCCAGGACTGAAAGACTCTGCCTTCCTCCACTCCATCTTCTCTATTTCTAGACTAGCTTCCATCCATCCAAACCCCTTTCCTGTGTCCTTGTGGAAACAAAGCCCAGAAATTGGGCAGGTTGTATCTCCAGCTCTCCCTCTCTACCTATCTGGGCCTCTCTGAACTCCTTATCCAAGCCAGGGGCCCCTGGAGCTGACTTGGCAAGCAAAGGCCAAGCTGAACAGAAAGCATTGAGGCGGCATCAAGACACAGGCAAGCAGCAACTATTTTGCTGAAGTACAACTTCAGCCATTTTAAATGTTTTATGCTTAAAAGGACAACATTCCCTTTCCATGCAAAGTAAGCAAAAAAAAATGAGAAGAGGGGAGGTGGCCAATCTGCAGACTGCTCCCCCTGTACACTTATTATTCTTTCAAAGCTGCTGCAAGAGGGGAAGAGGTGAAAGGGGCCGTTCAAATGAAGACTGGGGCACAGGGCATCTACATTTTACCTTTTCCCCTCCTCCTCATTTTCGGCAGTTTAAATTACCACCACCACCATCACCACCATCCCCCCTGTTAATTTCCTCCATTGCTAAAATATAAAGATACTACAAAAAATAATGGCAATGATCTTTAAGACAAGAGAAATTGGAGACCAGAGGTATCTGCAGGGAAGGGGATCAAAAAAGTCAAGCTGGCATCTGTGACAGTGTGACGAAAGCCCTGCCCCTTTGCGATGGGTTCCATGTGCAACGTATGTAAAAAAAGGGTCACATCCGCCATCTTGAATTTGTTGACTCCCTCCTCCCCTGCAGATGCCCCTGTTAGAGACTTTCATTTCAGACAATCAAGAACAGACACACACACATTTCTGGAAACAGTAGCTGGTGTTGCTTTCGTTCGTATCTGCATAACATGCTAAACCACAGCTAACTGAACCACAGTTTGCTAAATTACAGGTAGTCCCCAGTTTCCATGTCCATGAGTCTATCTACCTATGAAATAAATTACAGGTAGTCCCCAGTCCCCTAATGTCCATGAGTCTATCTACCTATGAAAAAGTCTCTTAATTCTTTAGGGCAAAAAACTAAGTTATTGGTCATATATAAATATTCCATTATAGACATAATCTTCAGCTATAAAAGAATTAAAGAAACAAGAACTAAAAACCAGAACAAAAATAATAGAATAGAAAAGATATTTCCCGCAAGAAAGAGAGAAAGAAAAGAAAAAAAAAGAACAGAACCAGATCCTGCAAGAAAAAAGAAGAAACAATTCTTGAAAGTAGTGGCTGGAAGATTAAAAAAAAAACTCTGTCCATTTTCCAATAAAGTTAAAAATACTGAGTAATGAATGAGTGCCAAAATATACATCTACCTGAAATCCTTAGGCACATCCCATGGAGAGTGCTCTTGGACAAGTTCTGTTAATTCCAACTTTCCAGACTGACCCTTTTAGTCAGTACATGCAAGCAGGAACAGCAAGATTCCTGTTTTCCACCTCAAGCATCAGAAATATCTCCAGCCATTTCTCTGCTCATGCCAATGTTATGGATGATTTTATAACGGGCCAACAGGTCACAGGACCAGCTTTGCATAAACAAATAGTATCTCTTATTCTGCTCATTACACACTTGGTAAGTATGTCAAGGCTTTGGGCCTTGAATGCATTTCAAAACGGGATTCATGGCTAGAAAGGAGTATTTGGAGAGAAATATACTTTCACTGGGTTTTATATCCTGTGATGAGGCGCGCACAAAAATTCTCAATTTTTGGAAGTTGACTCTTGGATGCTTTGTCAAAAGAAGACTAAGAATGCTGTCAGACAGTAGGGCAACAGCTGAGCTTCAGTGCTCAGTAGTTTCATCTCTGGGCCATCATAAAACAATGACTGGGTTCATGCAGCTAAAGAGCACCACAGTTTGGTGGTAAGTTTTGGCTCAGCAAGCTGTATGAACCTCATCACTGTGAGTTGTATGTTATGGCGTACAGCTTAGTGTTGCTATGTAAACACTATGTGGCCACTAGATTATTCAAGAAGCCATTATTAAAACAAACATAATGTGTAATCCAGCCTGTACACACATACGCACACCCAGAGACTATGCAGTTTCTGCAAAGAAATAATCAGTACTTCATCTTTCACAATCATAAGATGTTATTTTGTTTTCATGGAGTAGACCCTGGGGTGGGAGGCACAGAACCTACAATCAGGACTGGGAAGACCAGATTCAAATCCCTGCTCAGCCATGAAGCACCGTAGGTGATCTTGCATGGCTCATGTGGTTTACTGTAGGAGCCCAATTGCCTAGGTTTGCAAACACAAAGAATCCCAAAATAACTGTCCCAACTGGACTTACATAACACGCCATAGTTACCAAACCACATTTTAGCCTAGAGTGTTCTGTAAATAATTACTATCTCTCAACTTGATTTACTTTACAGGATTATCAGACAGACCAAAAGGGGGGAACCATGTACTCTGCTCTAAAGCCTACATATGAGAGTTAGTAACTCTCTCTACAATGAATCTGGAAAATGTTTGAGATGAAGGAGTTCCAGTGGCAAAATATTAATATTTTGATATTTGATATGGTACCAGTTGATATACAGTGATATTCCAGTATTCTTTACTGCTAGATTTGCATACCATCCTAAGCCATGTTTTGTTTAATCATGGTTTGTTCAACAAATCATAGTGTGCTAATTCAGAGAACATGCTAAGTCATAGACCCTAGTTTACAAACCATAATGATGAGGTTTATTCACCATGTTAAGCCTAAACCAAAACCAAACAAACTGGTTTAAGACGATGCCTGAATTAATTTTGGAACTCTGAGATCTTCTATGGCAGTGTTCCTCAACCTCAAGCACTTGAAGATGTGTGGATTTCACCTCCATGCTGGCTGGGGGATTCTGGGAGTTTAAGTCCACACATCTTCCAGTGGCCAAGGTTGAGGAACCCTACTTTGTGGAACTTCTCCCACTCTTCTTCCCAATTGTTTCCATGTGACTACCAGTTCCAGAAATCAAGATTCAGCCAACTGCCCAAGATGGCCATCAAAAGTCAGACTGGCTCACTTTCCCCAAAGCACTTCCTATTCCCACTCTAGACAGACAGGCCTGGAAGCGGACTGTTTTCTCTTTAAATGACCCAAATGTATCTCGCTTGCTTGTTTTTTCTGTTTGTATATGTGAGGCAGGATGTGCATAACAGGATGAGTCCTGATAAGAATGGCCTTGCTGCATCAGACCGAAAGGTCCACAGAGTCCTCCGTCCCACTGAATAGTTGTTAGGGCTAGATCCACTGCTCTACTCAGCTAAGGCAATTAGTCACGTCCTGCTGTTTGCTTCCACCATCAGCCGTCCCAGGTACATTGCTTCTAAACGTGGAAGCTCTCTTGGGCAGGAGTCTGAAACGTGGCACACAACAGGGTGCTTCGATCCAGCAGCCAAAAGGTTCAACTTTTGAACCATGTCTTCTCTAACACATACACACATGGACACACACATGCATTAGAATCCCTCTCCCTGCAAGGGGAAGGGAGCAATGCCTCTTAATGACAAAAGCTCTGCCCCCAAACTCTCCCTGCTTCCACCCTCCAATTATAGCAGACATTCCCCATTGCCAGTGCACGCTGGCAGATGGGAAATGCAGCTCAGCGCATCTTGAGACCGCCTGCTGATGGAAAGCTGCCCTCCTTCCCCTCCCTTCGGCATGCTGCACCCCCTTTCCTTTCCTTTCCTTTCCTTTCCTTTCCTTTCCTTTCCTTTCCTTTCCTTTCCTTGCCTTTCCTTTCCTTTCCTTTCCTTTCCTTGCCTTTCCTTTCCTTTCCTTTCCTTTCCTTGCCTTTCCTTTCCTTTCCTTTCCTTTCCTTGCCTTTCCTTTCCTTTCCTTTCCTTTCCTTTCCTTTCCTTTCCTTTCCTTTCCTTCCTCACTTGCCCAAGCCAGTCTCCTGCCCTCCTCCAACTTTTTCCTGGGCGGGCAGCAGATCCACCCCAGATGCTTCTGGGATGACACAGTTGCGAGCCAAGGTGTGGCTGGCTGGCAGCTGGAAAGAAGCAGCAAGTGGCAAGCCGGGCACTCTGCATGCCACCGCCTAACAGCCCTGCCTTGCCCCCCGTTCCACATACTCACCAGCGGGCAGCAAAGGCCAGGGAAGAGGGGCAGGCGGAGGAACCAGCCGGGGAATTCTGCGGAGAGAGAGAGAAAGGAAAAAAAGCGAAGCTGAGAGGGAGTGGCGTGGGGAGAGTCTGAATTCGTGTCCCTGGCGGAAACCAGCCAGCAACAAAATAGTTAGCCAGGAGGGAGGGAGGGAGGGAGGGAGGGAAAGCGAG